AATGAATGAACCCGTGTACAACGATCGACATCGCTGCAGTAATTGGTAGATAAGAAAAGAGGAAGAAATGGAGCTAAAGACAGAGAAGGCAGATAGAATTAAAGGGACGCCGGGGACACTGGAAAATATATCTTTTCAACGAGAGAGACTGGCAAGAGAATTTAACATTGTCTTTTCCGTTCAAACTTCTTTAATCATGTAAAAGTATATAAATATTCTGAGGCAAATGCAAAAAGTAATGTTCAACGAACTTAGGGAAACAAAATCTAAAGTAAAAATTAACTTTGGTGCATATATGACAACAGATTGGAATGATAAGAAATATTCGGGAATATATTAGTTAATGCTACAATTACAAAACTATCTCTTTTAATTTTTTTGTGTGTAATTTTCAGACATTTTTTCTATGCAATTGTGTCAACAAATTACTTACTGTTCGGGAATGAAATAATATTTACGAAAAGATCATTACATACGTTTGAAAGATATGTACTTTATCATTACAAGAAGACAGATTGACAATTATTATTATATCAATTATAAATGGGCTTAATAAATTGTTTACAACTCTCCCCTGATATAATTACGCGGTCTTCTTAATGCAAACATCAGGGTCCTTTATTATAAAACTTCTTATCCATAACAAATGCATAATTTTTTTAACAAATTTGCTCATAGCCAATCAGATGTCACGATTTTAATACCTTATAACAGTTATGGTAACTTTTTACTGACAACATGTTTTACGAAACAGGGCCCAGATGTAGTAGATAAATCATGACAGACTAAAATAACTTTCAGGGATGTGAATTTTTCCATCTCATCTTCTTTAAATACAATGATTTTCAGCGCAATCAAAATTGATAAAGGATTTAACTTGCTAACCTTGACAAACTTATATACGTATGTGCCATTATATGAAATTTCATGTCACGTAGCAAATTAACACAGAACGATTATTATGATTAATGACACAATGCCAACTGTTTGCTTACTTGAAGTGAGGAATTTCGAAAAGAAACTGCATAGATCAGAGTGATTTGTTAAATCCGGTAGTTAGTCTTTTTCATTCTTCTTCTTCCATTGATTACAATCCTTTTTGTAGAGCAAAGTCGTCATTGATTGCTGAGGCCGCAATCCCAAGAACACATCACATTGCGAAAATCATGATACTTTTTCCTTGCGTTTTGTTTTACTTTCCAGTCTTTCTGAATGCAAATCAAACGAAAATGAGTACACTACGGACTGACATTGATCAATTTTTTTTTTGATTGATTGATTTTTATTTCTCATGCAAAACATAATACAAACATAATTATATCACAACAAATATGTAATGAAACGATAAATATAGTGGAAATAGCACGAGAAAAGAGGAACTAACTTGAAGCAGAGCTTGTTGAAATGTTGGTTCCTCAGATGCAAATTTTACAATAAATCATGAACAAAGTAAGCTTATAGATCAATAAATAGACAATATGTAGCTAGGAAGAAGGAAAAAAAGAAGACAAAACTGAGGAATAAGAAAGAAAAGAAAAAAAATGAATGGAGGAAAATAGTAGAAGACAAGGACAAAAGCTCTAGAAAAGGGAGATTGAGAAAGAGATTGAGTCGAGAATCAAACAAACCGAGATTCTATCATGTACATCTATATGTGTCTAAAAGTTTAGTCTTTAACTTTAAAAAAAAAATGCATAGACTAATACTGTGTTTAAGAAATGGATCTATGTTATAAAACTCTCATTACACGAAAACACGAGACATGTAGCAAATACAATTATTATTAAAGGGATCCGGTAACTTTGTCTTAGATTCTGAAGCAAAATTCTAGATATAGCTCATGCTGCAATTATACTTATGAACCCTTTAGGTCAGTCAGGAACCCCATGATTTTTACAAGCCAATCGCCTGTCTGATTATCAAGATATTTATAATTGGAATTACAAATTTTGAAAACCGTTTGCCGAACGGTTTTCATAACACTACAGTCCATTGGGGAAAACGAGTATAGTAAAACCGGTCACTGAAAGATTTTTTTACTTTTTTGAGGCACTTCTTGATCATTTTGAAGCGCAATTATTGTAGGGCTTCAATATTACACCATATCACAGACACTGGTAAAACGTAGGGCCGTGCTTCTCAGGATTGAACATTGTCAACCCGTTGACTACTGAATTATCTAATTCCCATAGGCTTTACACAGGGACCACCCGGTTCCAGTAAGCAATGGGTTAAATGATCCCTTTAATCAATACAACAAACTCGACAACGCATATTTGCTTACTGGTCATAGATTTGAAACAGTTCTACTTTGAATACAATTTGAATAATTTGAATACAATCAGAGACAGATTCACGAAACTCGGCAATGCATATATTTTGCTTATTCGTCATATTGTTTAAACAGTTCTACTTTGAATACAATGAGAGAGAGATTCACGAAACCCTACAATGCATATTTGCTTAGTTGTCATAGATTTGAAATAGTTCTACTTTGAATACAATAGGAGAGAGATTCACGATAACCTCATTCCATAGTCCAACTAGGATGATAAGCATAACAATGGCCATGATTAACCCGTTGGCTACTGAATTATCTAATCCCCATTGGCTTAACACAGGGACCACCAGGTTCCAGTAAGCAATGGGTTAACAATTTTAAACAGGAAAAACCTTTCACACACAAAATGTCAAGCTCTCTAGATACGAACTTCGTATATGCAACCTGCTTTTAGGGGCGTATGAATCGCGACTTCGTATCTATCCCAACACTTTTAAACAGGAAAAACCTTTCACACACAAAATGTCAAGCTCTCTAGATACGAACTTCGGATCTGTAACCTGCTTTTAGGGGCGTATGAATCGCGACTTCGTATCTATCCCAACATCGTATAAACGATGTTCACACAGGGAAAATTTTCTATAAACATGTTTAAAACTGTTGAGTTAAACACGTTTATACTAATCATCTCTAGATACGATGAATTTTAGCAGTGTGTGAAAAGGCTGCTCATCACCAATGGTAACGGACAAGTGTTATTAGAAATGCCAACGATTTAGAAAGACGTTATAGGATCATGTTGGATACTTTTTTAAACGAAAAGTGCCATTCAGGTTGAACTTGTTATAAAGATGAGTAGTTCTAAAAGATCGTAACGAAACTCTTTCATGTTTTTCTTCTTCTTCCTTATTTTGTTTCTTCTTCCTTCTCCTTCGTCTACTCCCCCTTCTTCTTCCTTATCTGTCTTCTTCTTTTTCTTCTCCTGCTTATGTTCTACTTTCGTGTTTCTTCCTCATGAAAGAGCGGGGCGTCCCTTGTAAATTAACGGCCTACGGTTCTTTGAAAAAAATTCTGTGTATTATTTAGCCAGGACTAGTTGAAATATATGCAATTGAAACAGAACTTTTAAAATTCCCTGTTCTCAATACAGTGCAGAAAATTGCAATTATATGTCAACCCATGAATGAATCTTCTATGATAATTTTTGTTTTACAGGTATGAACAGATGTATGAACGGCTCTCCATGTACCTAGAATAAAATCGAAGATAGGTGAGCGAAGTTTTTATTCCAGTGGTCCGGTTACATGAAATAGGTTACATTGTGCTTTGCGCTGAAGTCAGTTGAAGTATTTAAGAACATTTCAAAACACACCTATTAACATTGTAATTAACTGCATTACATTTTTTATCATATGTTTTGTTGAGTTTTAATTCATTACCTTTTGTGTTTTGTAAAGCGCTTTGATCAGTTGTAAATTGAATAAAGCGCTATAAAAGAAACAATTTATTATTATTATAATCTCATAGAGAAATTTTAAACTCCATGTTCAAGTTACAAACTTACATAAAGTTACGAGATTCGACTTCAAGATTTGAAGATCCGCAGCAAGAAAGGTCTACGAGTATTACAGAAACGACAGGAGAAATTGACAAATGTATGACGCTTCTGCAAGCTTACCATGGACCTATTACGGATGGACATTCATCGTTTTCTTAACGAATTCATTGTGATTGTCTCCGTCAATGTCGTCTCAATAACATTCCGTACATGTTTCTTCCCTTTGGTCTCATCATGGTCGCCGGCAAAAAGCCTGGACAGAATCAAGATAGTGATTTTACACATGTTAATCTACATGCGCAGAAAATATTATTACTCGCCTAAATCATGGAATATAGATGTGCAGTTCAGGCTTATAATCGGAAATTGTTGTTCCGTGTACTGTACATGTATTTTTTTTTGAAAAACGTGTTGATATTTACCAGATAGAGGTTATTTTTGGATTTTGGGGTTGTGATTCAAAATTCCGTTTCCCCCTATTTCCTCATAATATTCCAGAGTTACAACGCACAGGGCTGATACAGATCATGGCCTTCTAATTGTTTTATAAGGTCATATGTGTGTGCGAAAGTTTGCGAATCAGTAATAATACATTTCATATCACCAAAATCGTCTGCTTTTCAACTTTGCTGCTCCCCATTGAGGATGCTTTTATTTAAGACACACTCTTACAGAGCACACCATCCAAACAAAACCCAAGAGAGGGAAACTGCTCCTTTGTCAATGACCGAAAATGCTTACGCAGTCGTTATTGTTAAAAAATCTGAATGTTCTCATTAATATGCACATAATCAGAAGGCGGCGACTATGATTGGACCAAAGAAAGAATCACGTTGAATGTCCATCCGTATTAAGTTCATGCTTACACTAAGCAATATAATACCTTTAATGAGGAGTCCAAAGGTCGAGATTGATGTATCGGTGGGCGTGGCTTGACGTGCGGTAACAAAATCAACTCAGTAGGATTGATGCAGACTTAGTCAATAAAAGACTGTTTGCAGTATCCATTATTGACATGTCTTGGATCGTCTTCACGCTGCCTGCACACGGCACGTATAAGTATTCTGCACACGGCACCTATAAGTATTCTGCACACGGCACTACACGTAGCAGTTGCATGTAACACACCCATAGGCGCACAGTAAAAGTTCTTCATTCAAAATGGCGTATCTACGTGCCGTGTGCACCAGAATTCTCTTTCTCACCATCCTGACAAACTTTCTTGCGATCACGGTCGCGAGCTTGACCAGGGAATCGAGGGAAATACACGATCACGACAATGATGACGACTACGTAGAAATTGGAAATTATCTTTTGGAGGTTGAGCTGGCAGGCAAGAGAGAGGAATTCGATTTTTTGAACAACCCGGAACAGAATGTAACGTTTGATCAAGTTGTTAGTTTGGTCGAAATAGTTTTCGGACGAATCGATTGTGAGCAACGGGTCGGTAACTGCTCTAAGGTAAAACAAAAACGATTTGGTTTTCATAGTTATTAGGTTATTTACTCATTATTCACTTTTTTATTTTTTATTTCAGTTTTTAGGAAAATGGGGTTTTCTCTTCAGTCAATTAACTACTTTTAATTTTTTTTTTTAAATCTTAATGTTCTGAAAGATGAAACAAATATTAGTAATTAAATCAAAACACATCAATATTCTGATGAGATATATTCGAAAAACTTATACACTGCAAAAACAAGGGTGTTAAATTTTAACACTTTCCCGGTATCTATATCGGAAAACACCAGATGGTGTTATTTAACACCAGGGTTTGGAATGGAACAAGTCAATTCCACTATTGATGTTGAAGTAATTCCGCCTTTGGTGTAAAAATCTAACTCTATTATTTCAACTTGATGTTAAAGTTCTATTCTAGTTTTGGTGTTACAAAATCCAACACCATTTCTTTCAACACCAGTGGTGAGTAGAATTGAATCCTGATTTTGTTTTGGTTAAAATCAACACCAATGATTTAACACTCAATTCAAAGAATCTTGCGATGTCTGTTGGATTAAGTGGTACCAATTTTCTAACTGTTCTGTCTGCAGAACAATTTTTCACACTTAAAGGTATTACAAAGTTTGGGGAAATTCTGAAAATTGGGTAAATAGTGAATTTTACAATTTTGATATATTTGGATGCCCCTGTGGATGTATTATGAGCACTCACAAAATTAACCCCAAAAACACTTCTGTTTTCGAGAAAAATTGAATATAAAAATTTACCGGTGCTCCCGGTAAAGTTTGATAAATTTCAAATAGCGCCTACGGCCGTACAATGGTAGCTGCGACCATGAAAATCTCAGAATATGTAGTTGTGATATATAATTTCATAACGTGAATAGCCAATCGATCGATTTTAGTCAAGAAACATTGTTTCATAGCTAAATTGATATCTTGACCTTGAGAGGGAGCTATACTTAAAGAGTTTATTATTTATAATTTCATAACTTTAGACTCGATTTCAACCGGGACAACGATCAATGAATATTGTAGGAACGCATATGCTTCCAATATGCTAATTTGAACCAAATTCATGACCCCATGCCAAAACTTTGTAATACCTTTAACAGTATGATTGCTCTGATGAAATAGGATATTCAGACCGTGATTAAAAATTCCATAACCACGGTATCCCGAAGAGATTCTTGACAGCTAGCTCGCGCATGCGCATGCACGATACAACGTCATATCGTATGACAACTGTCGTCCAATGATTTTGCTCGAATCCACTAACTTACGCGCATGCGCAAGTTCAACAACATAACACCAAGACTCGGAACATCAACCTGTAATTAAATATTTCGACACTCTGTTGGTGTTGAATGGACGTGAGCGAACGTGAAATTAACACCAAGGGTGTTGGTTTTTTCTATTCCGTGCTGGTGTTAGAAATTTAACAGTCTGGTTTTTGCAGTGTACTACAGAAGTGTAATGGGGAGAGATATTAACAGAAAGGGAAATAAATGGTGAGTTATTCATGGCGAGAAAATGAAAGCGATAAATCGAGGGAAAGGTGAATGAAAGAGGATGTCGCTAAATCAAAGAAAGATAGAGAGAAAAAAACGAAGCAAAGAGATCGAGGGATAGAGAACAGATGAAAAAGAAATAACGATCTTAGGAATTAGAGAAATAGAGAACATGTACAAAAGAAAGAAAATAACTCATAAACAACAAAATGAAGGTAAAAAACCACATGAAGCCCTGATACAATACGATAAATACTTTAAAAAAACAGGCTGTATAACACTTAACACAGACAAACATGATAAGTGAAATCTAGATGAATCTAATTCTCAGGGACACCTTGATCTAAATCATCTAGTTTCGAAATAAGGCCCGGAAAGAGTTACATAATGTAACATTGCCTGTCGTTGATTTGGTCTGGGATTAATGTTCCATACTGTTGAACCAAGAAAAGCGCAATCGGTCAGTATTTATGTGTTTAAGCACAAACTGAATTTACTTTATTTGAGTCGATATCGTCTAGATTTATAGTTGTGATCAATTTTTAAGAAAATTATTTACTATATAGGTCAGCATAATTCTACTCCCATTTCTCACATCTATTCATCTGTCTGTCTTTTTTTCGTTTTGTCTGTGTTTCAGTCCTGTTGCACGGTGTATTTTCCTGTTTCTTTTGTTTATAGCCATTATTTAGTAGTCAGTAGATCGTATTATACTTATTTATGTTTATATTTTATCAGTTGTTTAGTTAGTTTAGTTTGTCAGCATTTAAATGTATGCATTATTCTTATCTGACGAGTTTGTTCTTTTATGACATACTCATAAGCTACTCATGAGGGACCTTAAATCCACAAGCCTTGCTTTCACCCAAGGTCACCTCATCTTTCTATTGTAACACCATATTCTGTAAACCTGTTATATTCATGTCATTTTGGTAAAATGTGTTAAGAAAAAAAGATTAATAAATCTTGAAACTTGAAACTTGAAACATAAATTGTGTACTGAAAAGTCCGCTTATCACTACTATTGACCGAAGGAGCCTTGGATTCTTTTGGCGTCGCAATAGGACACGGACCCTTTTCCTATAATTACAAATCGTTCACAAACCTAATGGGGAAAATATTTTTGACGCATTAAAGGCTTTAGTAATAAGTAAGGAGATATTCCCATTTAAAGTGCAATCCATCTTTTGAGTTCATTTCGTATGAAAGCAAATAAATATGAGATACAGAAGGGCGAAATTTTGAGGTGATTTCTTGTATACAAAATTGTTATTCATTTCTGTTTTTCTCCTAAAAGCTTTCACCTTAGAGCCATTACTCGAAATATATTATATATATTAATAAAGGTTCTGTAAAGAAAACGGCCTTCATGAGTAATTCATGTTAAAAAACTGACATTATATTCATTTTTTTCTGTCGGAAAACAGGGAGGGATCCAGGAATTTCTTGACGGGGGGGGGGGGGGGGGAGCACACAGGGGGGGGGGCACCTGGTGGGAAAGAGAACACATATATATATATATATATATATATATATTTTAGTCCCCACAAAAAATCGCAACGACGCAGCCAGCGGCCGAATAAGGAGGACACTTTTTTGTTTTTTTGTTGGGGGGGGGGGGGGGGGGGGGGGGGGGTCATGACATTTTTAAATTTGACATTTCGCTCCATTGGGGGGTAGGGGGGGGGGTAAGGTCACCTTTTTAGATCAGACATTGGTATATATATATATATTTTTTTTTAAATAAAATAGTAAAAAAAATTTTTTAGCAGGGGGGGGGGGGCACGCTCCTGTTTTTAGTAAATTTTCAGTTAGGCGCATTTTGGGCGAATTAAGGGCTGGTTTTAACATATTTTTTGGCCGGGGGGGGGGGGGAGGGGGGCCAATTGAAATAATGTGAAAGTTGTCCGGCACTACGTCAGAATCAAGTGAACTAATAAATTGCGATTGGAGATTCGCGTAGATGAGGTGATCTCATATTTTCAAACACATTCATAACTTTCTTGTAATAGGTCCGATTTATTTCATACTCCCACCCTCGCTGTTTCCTTCATATTTCTCCTTTTTACAAATTGGGCTATTGCAAAGCTTGCATTTCTGTTTGAAGGCAGAAAATACGAGTCCTGAAGTGAGTCCCTGTGAAAATTGTTTCTAACTTTGTACGTAATTTAACCATTTTTCCCCCTACAACATCTAGGAGAGCTCGAGAACAATATTTGACCGAACTGCATCTCAATAGTCAATCTGAGAGAGAGAAAAAGAGAAAGATAGTTGGAATGGGAAAGAAGAAATCGACTGGCTTGAATATTTTGACATTGTGGCTCTCTTCAATTGTCCGTCCTCTGCTTGAGCTTCGTCTCCTACTTTTCTCTCTACTTCGGTTTCTTATTTAACTTTTTCTTCTTTCTCTTCTTCGACTTCTTCGTCTGTTTCTGCTTCTTCTTCCTTATGTTTTTCATTCTTTTTTTTCTTTTTCCTTTCTTTGCTCTTCTTCTTTTTCTTTTTTCTTTCTTCTTCTTCTTCGTCTTCTTCTTCTTCTTCCTCTTTATCTACCTATCCTCTTCGAGTGTTGCTCAATTTGCTCGCTCTTATATTATATTCTCTTAATAATAATGTTAGTATGCTATCAAATAATATTAACAGCAAAAATAATATAGAAAACAAATAATGATAGTATTGAGGATAATAATAAACATTATTAAAGAGAGGGAAAGACGAGAGAAAAACAATTTATTTTGAAAAGTGAGGTAAGCTTATCCTAATCATTTAACATTGAATCATTTAATCATTTAACATTGCATTTAACAAGTTAATCATTTTCAATATAGGCCTAATGTGAAAATATCACTATCTCTATTAATCGCATTACCAATACTTATCCTCCATACGTAGATATTTAATTTGATCTTGTTTACAAGAACTATTACATTTTCTCTCCAGACAACATCTGTTTTAATTTGATTAAAGGCAATCCAACCTTTTTAATATGTTTAATTGTATGAAAGCAGAAAATAAAGAGAAACAGAATGAACAAAGTTTAAAAATAAATCGGACCAATACAAAACAGAGTTAAAAATGTTTAAACCATGAGATTACTACATCTATGGGAATTTTAAATTGGCAATTTGGTTAGGGGGATTGTAATTTATATTTACAGACAGTTCTCCCGTTTTTCGTGTACCTTATATTAGTATCATTAATTTTCCCTTAAGTGTCATTTTTTTTGGGCTAGTACTCAAAATATAATGGAAATCAAAGTATCATATGTCATCTAAAAAGGGTTGACCCTGCTGATTTATGCATTTTTAAGAAAATCAATATTTTGTATTCATCTTGTTTGTTAAAACATATTGGGAAAGCATTCCGGCACTACGTCATGATAACATGGCGACTTCAGCTAATTTTAAAT